CTGATTAAGGGTGCCCTACCCTGGAAACATCAAGCAGAAAGCTGGACTTCCTCTAAGTACTATAATTTCAGACATTGGTGCCCATGCCCTGGTCTGTGAACACAGAATTGGGAGTAAGTGATGGTAATGATGGTAGTGATGATAAAAATGGAATGGATTTTGATATGCTGTTCTTGAAAAGTAGTTAAAACACTCTAGAGTTGCTCCTGGTACAATACTCTTACCACCTAGAAGTAGAGGACCGTTCTACTTTGGACTCTCAAGAGTTGCAATTAAACATCTTAATATATTTATTCAGTCATCTATCTCTGAACATATAGACTTTGTATTTTCCACTCCACAGTACTGTATTATATTCAGTTGTCTTTTTCAATCATCCTTGTTTAATTTCATGTATTTTCTGCTAAATTTGTTCTAAACTTGACCCCTGCAATGATCTCTAATTCTAATGCCTTTTTAATATCAGTCCTCTATTTTCTACTGATACCTCCACCTCCATAACTATCCAGCACATAATTGAAATCTGTTCTGTGTTTACACTGATTAATGCATTTAATCCTCTCAGCTCACAGATGATCAAACTTATTCAGGGCCATTCAGCAAATAGAGGACAAACATGCATATCAGGGTCCAGAAAAAGGACTATCTGCCAGCATTCTCTCCCTTACCTCTGTGCCTTTTGTACATGGATTTTCTGTTTAGACTCTCCCACTATCCTCAGTCCTATCCACCTGCTGAATTCCTATTGGTCCCCCAAGATTCAAGGGTAACCTCCTTCATGACCCCTCTCAGGTTTCCTTTTCCCTTTCTTCTGCCTGGATGGAGTACCTGTGCCATGGGCTTCATCACTCCCTGTGCCTCTCTTGATTCCCTCACTGCTTTTGCTGAATGGTAATTGTCATCTGGCTCTGCTTTCTCCTTTACCAGGATGCAGTTTCCTCCAGATCATGGTAGGATATGGGTTTGGTGTTGAGATTCCCAGCATTTAGTACAGTGCATGGTACATGGTATGTATACAACAAATATTTATTGAACACTGAGCAAATGACCCAATTCTCTGATTTGGTCAAAGGCCTCATGAATGATGTCACCTGCCTTAACTGGGGGTGGGGGGAGAGAGACACTATTCTCATCATGTGCAATGCAATGTAGGACATCCTTTTCTCAGCTTTTTTGTGAACTCATTGTTTCTCACCAGGTTTACAAAGGGACAGTAGTTAACAATAATCAGAGAATGGACACTTCTCAGACACTGAGGTATATGTTCACCCATACCACTTCTTATCTTCACAACATTGCCATGTTGACACCATTCCCTTTTTATAATGAAGCTCAAAATCAGTTATCTTAAGTAATTTGGCTACAGTCATATGGAAAGAAGGCTTTGTATTAAAAGCATGCACAAAGTGCTCCATCATGTACAGTCATCCCTTACCTCCAGAGATTCATTGGCATTTGTGAAAATTACTTACAGACCCAAAATAAACAACAACAAAAACAACAAAACCCAAGTTAATCTGGATTCTGTAATAGTGAAATCATGGTCAACTAGGATTTACAGGGGTTCCACGGCACTCTTACCACATGCATTGTCCAAGGCAAATCATGCCTATAATCTTAGTTTTCTTATCATATAGGTAAAACTGTAATACCTATTTAACTCGAAGGGAATTGTGTACCGAATCATGTCTGTCAAAATGCTTGTCAAAGAGGAGAAAAGATGCACAATTTGGAGCACTGTGCTGGATAGTTTGATGCAGTATTTCTCAAATAACAGAGAGAAGATCTTGAGCAACAGAACTACTTGAGGTGTTAAGGGTAGATGGGGAAGCCAGGAAAAGAATCCACATTAAGTCCTCAAATGACTCTTTGAACACTAAACTTGAGAAATATCTTGTGAAAATGGCAACATTTTCACATGGGAATCTTATTAAAATGCAGATTTGAATTCAGTGGGTCTGAAGGGAAGGGTTGAACAGACCAAGATTCTGCATTTTTAATATGCTCCCAGAGAAAGCTTTCTGCTGATCCACAAACCATATGAGGAGCAGGGGCTTGGAAGATCTATCCCCACAGGAACAAATAAGTTTTGCTTTGTTCTTGGGCCATAGATTGCATATATCAACTTCAGAGAGTATTTTATAAAAAGCCCAGGCTCTCAGTATTGTTGCAAAACCACCTGGACTACTCAAAACCAAATTGTAACATATTCTCTATCACAGTTAAAGTAGTAGCATCCCTTTCAGATACAGATAGCACATGTGCTTTGCTATGAAATAATAATTCATTGCTATTATTTGAGTCTTATTTACTATGCAAAGTGTTTTATATATATAATATATATACATGTTATATACATATACAGTGTTTTATATATATATATATATATATATATATATATAGCATATATTGTATATGTGTGTATATACACATATATACACACATATAATGCCTAATAGTCACCGTAATTCCAAAAGGTGTATATTCTTGTTCTATAGATAAGAAAATAGTGATTTGGAGAGTGTAAGTAACTTGCTGAAAGCCACATGGCTAGTTAGATGCTGTAACTGAGGTTCCAATCCTGCTCCACTTGGCACTCAAAGACTGTATGTTCTCTGTACTACTTCATGGTGCTAGATAAGACTAAAATATAAAAACATAATTGCTTGAGAGTCTAGAAAATATGGAGGGAAAATGTTTCTCCTCTATCAGTTGTTGGGTTTAAGGCTCAGCTGAGGCAGATTCTGTATGGAGGTGAGGTAGGGATAAGGCTCATTAATTAGTAATGTTACCAAAACATTTCAATACCATCCTTGACCACAGGTCCTCTACATCTAGTATTGCAGATGGAATTAAAAGGATAATAGTGACCAGTAAGGTTATAATAAGTGCTATTACATACTCTCCGGTTTCTAGCTTCCAAGTTCAACCATGCTAAAGGAAAAATTCTTCCTGATTCTTGTGGTTTATCAACTTCCCCACCCTCTCTTATATAAGATTTCTGTAATCCTAGAGTTCACACCAAACCCAGGTTTGTACTACCTCCTATCACAGTTGATACACCTGTCTACTTCTGATAAAACTGCTTACATTTGAAAGATGTTCTATTTAGTCAAATATCTTGAAAATGCAGCAATGTTGGAGAGTGTTTTTAGAGTAACAAAATTTTCTGCTATTTCCCATAAGGTTGTTGTGGAGAGAGAGGCACAGCATCAGAGAACACAGTCAGTACTCAAGAGTATGAAAAAGACAGAAAATATCTATAAAATAAACCACTCAGTCAATTACCAACCAGTGTATTTAGCATTCAACAATCTTTGGGCAGAAGAGCTAGGGTGAATCTTTTAACCTCTGGTCTCTCCTCTACTACAATTAGCATTCTGGAGTTTAACTGCTGTTTCCTAAAGATCCACCATTAATAACAAAACAACTGTTTGCCTATGTAGTACAAAAAGATACAATTAGAAAGCAACATCTCCTGCAATTTAAAAAAAAGTATTTGTCTAAAAGCAAACAGTGATATTTGAACTATTAAGGATTTTGTCCTATTGTATTCTCTACAAAGCATGTTTCAAAAATAAAGACTAAAATCCTTGGTTTGAAAACTTATTAAAAAGCAATTTTAGAATGAGTGTGCATGTATATGTGTGTGTGTGTGTGTGTGTGTGTGTGTGTGTGTGAATGTGTGAAGGTAAGAAATTTGAGTCTTGGGGCATTCATTTCAAACTAATAAGCATTTGCAACTTCACTCCTCACCTCTACAAACAGTTCAGATTTCAGATCTACACCAAAGGGCCCCAGAAAACAATTTGAGATTTTTTTTTTTTCTGGAGAGACTTTGCTGAAATGTACATACGTGGACATGTTTGCAATGAGTCATAATTTATAGGGCCTAAATGGCCAATTAATGCCATATGACTTTCTTCCTCCATTCTGCATCATTGTCAAACCAGTTGGTGATGTATTTTTCCAGGGCCTGATAATTTTATACAGTTACCAGATCTCAGTTACTAAGGCTGCCACTCAGGTCCATGGACAAAACGCTTTCTTTGGTGCTGATTTTTAAAATGCTATCTAAAAGCACAGAACATGATTCTCTTTCTAAACCTTAATTTTCCCCAACCATAGTTAATACCTTTCGCCAGCCTATGGACACCGTACTTTAAAGACCCCCAAAGAGAAGTTGAGGGGCTTTGGGGCACTCCAAGTAGACAGTGGGAAAGGTTCATGAAGAGCTGCTTTAGGGAAAGGCAGACATAACAGGATGTGTTCCTTTCTAGAGGAAGCAGGAGCTGTAATTGCCGCGGGGCAGGAAAGGCGGAGTCAGCAGCACCCAAAGGAAACCGGCGCGCTAGCGTTTGCAGGAACTTGGCCTGATCAGGGACGCTTGCCCCTGACTGGTACAAGACTGGCAAGCACCTCGCCCGCTAGGAACCAGGCTCAGGCCTCCTGGCACTAGTGGTTATAAAAAGGTACCCATCTGCTACCCCTGCCAAAGACTGGCAATAGGGCGAAGAGATAAAGCAAACATCAGGCACCAAGGCAGGTGAACTTGTCAACAAGTCAGCCCTGGAAGCAAGTCCCTGCCCAGAAAGGACCTCGGGATCCTAGGGCCGAAGTCTCTCGGATGGCGAGGCTCGGCACGGGAGGGTGAGGTGGACTGACGCGGGTGCGGGTGCAGGTGCTCCCAGAGCCGGGGCCAGTGCGAGATGGGGCCGGAGCGCTCCGGCTCTCCGGGGGCTGACGCACGCTCTCAGGGTGCGCGCATCCTCCACACCTTCCCAGGCCAGCGGGAGCAGGCGGGGGAGGGGAAGGAGCTCATGCGGTTCCCGTAAGGAGATCAGGGGCCGCAGGAGTGACCCGCCTGTCACCCGCCGCCCGCAGAGGCCAGAGGAGGCAACCCCGGCTGGCGCCCCCGATCACCCCGGGTGCCGGGCGTTTCCCGCTGCAGCATGCAGCCCGCCCGGCGCGCCCCCGCCTCGGCCCCGGAGGGCAGGTACCTCGGAGCCCTGGCCCCCAGGAGCCTCCCGGCCGCGATCGGAGTGTCCCTCTAGATCCCACATCAGACGTCAGCGTCAGCAGAAGGCGAGGGAAGGGGCGGGGGAGCGCAGGAACCGGCCCTTCCTGCAGCGGCAACCGCCAGCCGGAATAGCAGCCGGCGGAGCCCGTGTGCGCGCCGCAGCGCAGCGCAGCGGCCGGGGGGAGCCGGCGCCCTCCCTTCTCCGCCCGCCGCCAAGGCCCCTCCACTCCTCCCCTTTTGGGGACCGCAGCGGGTCAACCCCTTTCAGCAAGACCTCGGGACCTGGTGTATGAAGGGCGCAATGGTCTCACCTTGTTTGGGGTGGGTCGGGGGTTAGGGGAGTAAATCTCCCTCTTTTTACTCCCTGGGGTCTTTCCTTGACCCCCCATCTCCTGGGGTATCCCCCCTGCTCGGATCTGCTGTCCTGGGTGTCACCGCCTCTGCTCTCCCGCAGGTGTTCCACGTGTCCATAGCATTTGCGTCACAATGACCTGGCTACAGGTGGGAGCTAAGCGGACGAACGCCCTAGGGTTCTCCCCGTGTGGTGTGTAGTGCGTGGGACTTGCTTCTACATTAGATTTCGGTGGTTTTAGGGGACAGGAGATTTCATGACTTCGGTGTCAAGAAAGTTAGAGGCCTGAACCTGGAAACCAAGTTTGGGCTTAAAGGGAAAAGGTCGTGTTCAAAAATTACTGTGTATGTATACATATTTTTAAAATATCCATATATCCTATTTATTTTATACTTATTACTTACACTTATGGACTTCTTCTCTTATCCTTTGTCATATGGAAAGAACCAAATAATTTTTTCTGAAATACTTTACAGATCTAAGGAAGAAAAAGTGTTGGAACAGGTGTTTCTTAACATCTGTGCTGAAATGAAACCCCAATGACCATCCGGGTTATGTTATGTATTTTTAAATAAGTTTATTGAACAGTCACTGATGGAAACAATTTAGGAGGATGGAATAATACATAGGTATTGGGAAATGATGCAAACAAATTCGAAATCCACAGCTAATATGAGGTGCTGCTCCCTGTGTGCCAGGAATATGTTGTATAGTTTACATTTAATCCTTAGAGCAACCAAATATTGTAGGTAACGTTATTGTCCCATTTTACAGATGAAGATACTTCCCAGAATGCTGTAGAGTATCAATAAGGGTTTTAACCTACTTAATCTCAAGATAGAATGGAGTTGAAAAAGAAAGAGATTATTATTTTTTAACCGAATGAAAGGCTTTTGCTAACATTGTGGGTACTCAATAAATGGATGAATATATCTACCAGTTCATTGAAGCATTGAGAAAGGAATAAGACCTCCAGGAAGGTCTTTTTCTCTTTTTTTAAATTCTATAATGTTCTTTTTCCTACGAATACTGATTTGCCAGTCATAGGAAAATGTATCAGAAACTCTATATATCAAAAGTTAGCTCTGAGGCAGATATTTACATTTGTTATGAGAGAGTCAGTCCAATAGCAGATTGCTTGAACATGAAACATGTCCTTAAAATGCAGATAATTGGAGCACAGACATTGGGGGAATCGAGAAAGGCTGCTGATTTATAAAATTACTTAGGTTTTTTAAAATTTTTAGTTGTAGTTGGACACAATACCTTTATTTTACTTATTTTTATGTGACGCTGAGGCTTGAACTCAGTGCCCTGCACATGCTAGGTGAGCACTCTATCACTGAGCTACTCCAGCCCCTCTTTTAATTTTTTTTTCCCCTTCTGAAGATCAGGGTAGAAATCTTGGCTGTGAGTCCAACAACCTGTCACAGATACTAAAAGTGGCTTCAAAGGTAAGATAAAAGTGAACAAATATGCAATACAAGCACTATCTAGTCAACATGACACGAAATTTCCCTGAGTTCTCAGAGAATTTAAGAGAAAACTCCAAGTGACTTTTCATCAGTCTTAATCTTGTGCTAATACTTAGGAAAATATTGAGGAAGAAATAATAAAGTTTTGCTATTTTACTTCATCACAGTGAGTGCTTGTCTGTCCCTTAAAAAAAATTCACTCCATCTACAACACTTGGTTTTTGGATATCAAATTGTTTCCATCTTACAGAGAACCCACAGGTTGCTAGTGAGACTCTAAACTAATTTCTAAGAATGGTCATTGAATAACATAAGCTGATATTAGGAAAGAAATAAAGTACAGTTTCCAGAGTGCAACAGGATGAGAAAGAAAGTTTCCCAATGGCGGGGGTTGGGGGTTAATCCTTACATGTTAGACTCAATAAATTTTCTTATGAGTGTCCCAATCCAAGATGTGCTAATAAGACTGCATGACTTAGGAATAGTAGTAGGCTACAATTAACAGACCCAGGATAGCAGTGGATTCAATGAGACAGAAATTTATTTTCTCTCACTTAAAAGAAATTGGAGAGTGGGCAGCCTAGCGCTGGTATGATCTCCACAATGGTGTCAGAGTGTTACCCTCCTTTCTCTCATTCTAGTCCACCATCCTTAGCAAAGCAATACTGTTTCAAGGTAAATCCAGGTGAAGATGTGGAGAAATCAGGACCCTCACACACTTCTGGTAAGAATGAAAATGGTTCATACACTTCAGAAAACAGTTTGGCCCTTTCTCAAACCATTCAACATAGAATTGCCACGTGACCCAGCAGTTCTACTCCTAGATCTATACTCAAGAGAAATAAAAACCCAGGTCCATGTGAACATCTACAGCAGCAGCATTCAAAAATAGAAGGTTGAGATAATCCAATTGACCATCAGTGGGCAAATGAATAAACAAAATGCAATATGATCATATAATAGAATGTTATTTGGCCACGAAAAGGAACAAAGTATTGATATATGCTGCAACTTTTATGAACCCTGAAAACTTTGTTGAGTGAAAGAAGTCATTCACAAAAGGCCATGTATTGTATTATTCCATTCATATGAAAGCCCAGAATAGGGAAATCTATAGAAACAGAAAGCACATTGGTGCTAGAATATGGGAGGGTATAGAATAAGAGCTGAAGGGTGTGGAGTTTCTTTTAGAGATAATGAACTGTTCTGAAATTAATTGCTGTGATGCATTCACATATGTGCAGACATACCAAAAACCACTGAATTGTACTTTTTACAGTTAATTTTGAATTGTACAGTATATGAATCTTACCTCAGTAAAGATATTGAAAAAGAAGTTTAAATTTTTGTTTTCATAAATAGTTTTATTTGAACTCCACATACACAAAGTACATGCAATATCTTTCCCAGGAACAGATATAGGGTAAGAAACACACACATACAGAGCAAAATGTGAATTATTCACAGATCTAAGAATGTTGTATAAATTCTATTTACACTAAGAAGCTAAATATGAATAAATTGGACAAAAAGAAAAGGGACCACTGTTTATGGAAGAAAGAAATATCCCATGTTCATCCACTGGATACCTCTTGATGGTATAAAGAACTTCCTGTTACACAAATATTTTGAAAGTATCATCTAGTCTTATAGCATCTCAGTCTTCATAACTATTCCTCTTTTAATGAACGAAGAAGCAACCAAGCCTTTTAGAAATTAGACTTAATAACAAGAGAGTGAAATGATACTTTGCTGAGAGAAACTAGTATTGATGGAAGATACTCTGGGAGGTAAAACAAACACAACTAATTCCCTACTCTAACCCCAAATCCACACCTCCAATAAAAACCAAAAAAGAAATTAAAAAAAAAAAAACAAGATAAAAGTGAAAAAAATAATTCTGGCATCGAAGCTCCAAATTTCTACCTTGATTTTTAAAAAGAACATTAATTTACGCGTTATTTTACATGAACAATTTAGTCATAAAAACAATTCACATAGAAAATTAGTCTCTCAGAAGAGACGTTTCATGGTCTTAAGAAATAATGCTGAATAATGCTTAGGCCCCTTAATGTTTGCCAAGTTATTTTCCCTCTTCACCCTCTTAGGTAATCTAAAATAGATTAGCAGTGGACTTCATTCTATGTGACTAGAACCGTGTCATGTTACTGTTATGTGGGAATATGGATCTGTAGGCCATCTTGATTACTGAATCAATAATTGAGCTCTTTAATATATGCATTTCATAAATCTGTATAATCTTACCTCTGTTATTAATGTACAATCCAATCTCTTTTAGTGGGATTGTTGGTAATCTATTGTTAATGTTTTAAATGTTCCTTACACTCTCAGCCACCATGAGCAAGCAAGGCAGAATGTTCTCCTTGTCACTCACTAGCACATAAGGCAATACTCTGCCATTCGAAGTGTGAAATCCCTTTACATCCTGACTCATCTTTGTCAGAATCATATGTACTCATTCTGCCTGGCTGTTATTGTTCATATGGGAGGTGTCTCCCCAAAGCCCGTGTATGAGACAATGCTAGAAAGTTTAGAGGTGAAATGATTGGGTTATGACAGCCTCAACCTGATAAGTCAATTAATCCCTTGATAGGGAATAACTGAGTGGTACCTGAAGGCAGTAGGGTGTGGCTGGAGGATGTGGGTCATTGGGAGCTTGCCTTTGGGGTATATTTTTGTATCCAGTGAGTTGAGTCTCTCCCTCTTTGTTTCCTAATTGTCATGTCCTTCACCACACTCTTCTGCCATGATGTTCTGCCTTAACTCAGGCCCCAAAGAATGGAGTCGGCTGTCTGTTGACTAAGACCTCTGAAACCATGAGCCTCAAATAAACTTTTTCTCCTCTGAAATTGTTCTTGTCAGGTCTTTTGGTCACAACAGCAAAAAAGCTGACTAAAACACTGGCACATAGTAGGAGATGTTAAGATTGAGCTTAAATTACTGTTATTATCAATGTGTTTAGTAAGAGCTATACATATGACTCTCTCCAAAGCTCAGATCATTAATGAGAAAAAAAAAATCGCTTTTCATTCAGAGTTTCTGAGAGACTAAAAGTAGATAATCTCATAATAATCAATTTTGGAAAACGGATGTTTCAAAATTACTACTAAAATTATTGTCTGATTTCTATTGGTGTTTGAAATTTAAAGAAAATTAATCTTACATATAAAAGGATGCTGTTGGACTGGATATATTTAAGAACATCGATTGAGCATCTTGGCCAAATTTGTTTTAGTTCTTGTGACCATTTGAGCTCTCCATGTAGCAAAACAAGCTTTTTAAAATACCCTCTATTGAACTAGTTATATCTTTAAGAAAAC